CAAATGTTGGTGTTATTTCTAATATCTGACAATACATTCTTGTGATGACAAGCTGCTAAAAATATGAGAATGTTTCATGGGCGTGTATTTACCAATTGCAATCAAATGATGAAGGAATGTCCTCGATATCTGTGTCGCCAATATCAGTGTGTGCATGGTGCCAGCTTGCAGAGTGCAAGGGTGATCACGTTCGTACCATGTCACATGTACTTGACCGACGATAATTATTTAATTATTCTGATTACTATGTGATTATTTAATGAATGGTATACAATGGAATATCGTGACAGGTGTGGTGGTGTTCTTGTGGACTACGTGACAATTATAGAGTTGTATTTACCTTGGCATTTTAGTCAATTTCCTATGAACACACAACGTTTGTAACCAAACCTGACTCCACGTTCGCACAAAATAAGAAATAATTTCGGCATAAAATGGTGTCAATAATGTACCATAAGTGACATAAAACGTTTGTTAATTTTCGACAATGGCACTCTTGTTCTGATAATATGACCGCCTATTATATTAAGGACAAAAGACATATATGATGTCAGGGAAGTATCAGGCACTATGCTAGAGGAACCATTTGGTCTGGTCTTGGAACCAATCGAAATTCAATAATTACCAAATTTATTACTGTAATCGATTTCTGCAAGGAAAGGGTTTCTCCTACATGAAAAAGAGGCATTAACACACTGCAACAAATTATACCATTCTTTTGGACGTTTTGAATCGATAATGATTAGTTGGAAAATCCTCCGGAAGGAAACGGAATCCGCGACCTCCGTTTGTAAAGTAATTTTATTTCCTTATCGTTGGAGAAACACGCAAACTCAAAGGGTGCATGGAATGTCAGAGAAACTGTGGAAAATAGCGGTCCGATTCATCAGGGATGACAGATCATGGCGGGAAGAACACGTATCTGAGACGTAACTTGAGGACACTAAGAGATCTTTCATATTTCTAATGAAAACTTAATACAGCATAACAAGGAGATAATATGTTCAATGACACTTGGTAAGAACGTCTGTCAGTGGGATGTCTGTCAATGATGTGTAGATCTTGTATTGGGAGAGACTTTGAATCGACACTATGAATCGAGATATTCTTGTATGATCGTTTGGGTTATTAAGACCATGGTCCTGTTAATTGTAGGAGCAAATTATATAATTTTTAGATTTTATTCAGTATCGATATGTAACTATTTTGAGGCCTCCGTATACGGAAAGACATAATATTTCTCTATCAATTTTTACCATGACCCTATAGTGCTTCCAACCCTTTGGTAACCCGGTATTATACTTTTATAGTCATCACCCTAGTACTGCTGTAGACAACGGTACGCCTTATCGTTAAACTTTAATATGATAATAATATATGCTTTAATTCAATTTCCAGGAATGCAATTACCAAGATCGTACATTTTGTACATATATATCAAGTTCGGTTAATTTCCCTGTCTTTTTGTGCAAATGACAATAAAAAGTGCAGGCTCTCAGAATAGGAATTGCATGCCAAGTTAAAGAAAAGTCCAATTCCACTTAGTGCATGTTAGTTGGAAAAGAGCTCTGATCAGTCAGAAAGCTGGTAGACAGGCAATCCATTATATGGACCCAAGAAGGAATTAGAGAAAAATTCCAAGAGGGTTTGGCTGACTTTCGATGCATCTTGTCAGTCCCAGTGGTTCCCTCCCCGGCCACCTATACCAAGATCTGTGATGCCTACGGTGAAAGGTTGGTTCTTCAGAATGAAGATTGGTAATTGTTCCAACAGAAGCCCAATTACACTAAGTAACCATGTGATCACCTCAGCGTCTTACGAGGGATCTGGCCAATTAATCACGTGTATAATTGGGGAGAAATGTCTCAGTGAGCAAGGGACGGACAGACACTGTTCAAAGACTGTATAATCTGCTACACATGTCTTTTGTGTCTGTTAGACACAGGCAAGGTGGTACGTAATGTTTTAAATGTGATGAAACCCTGATCGTAAATATTCATTTACTTTGTGAAAGTGTATTTCCTTGGATTGAAAGTCACTGTAAACCTACAAATGTATCTTATCTTATTTACATTACCGACGTTTTAGCTTATCACACTCCTCAATCTCCCGATCACCTTGGCCTTTCTAAGCAAACTGTATTTATAGCAGCTATCACAGAAAAGATATATTGTCCCACAGATTTGAATTTCTGAAGAAATATGTGTATGTTGGCCCATATTGACAACGTCATATTGATTCATATAAGCAATATGATGTATTTGACATATTTACCGGTAAAGCGTTCTTGGGGCTTTCTTTACAGTGTTATGTTTGTATTTACCATAGAAATTCCTTTCGTTACATCAAATTAAAAATCTGACACGCATAAAACAAGCATATATCACTCGCTCAGCTTTCCAAACATATCATATATATTATACCTTATGCCTAGTGGAATTATATTTTCAGGCTATGCTAGTGAAATGCATAATCTTTAGTATACTGAGTAAACTGGTGCAGAGGAAAACGTGGCCTTGAAACGCCATATTGAATAAAAGCAGTTGCCATCGATAACGTTTGTTGGCTTTCGTATCTTAAATAGTTCAAATGAACGAGACATAATTCAATCATGTTACACACGAAATACTGCAATGATATTACAATTCGCAAAATTTGATTTGTATTAAATACATATAAATGATGTTTTAAAACGATTAAAAAACAAATTAATCATGTAAACGATCATCGTATTCTCATAAACCATATAGAACATGTAAATTCAATAAGATCAAGACAAAATAATATTTAACTTAATAACAAGTGTATTAATGCGAACACGGGGTTAACATCATATACACCAATATCCTTAGAGTTACGGGGAGGAAAATCTTTGTGAAAATAAATTTGTGAAGTCAAGAAAACTGTTTTGTAAAGTCTTGGCCGTTTTTGTGCAATGGCTCCTTGCGTGGGGACTATCAGATCTAAATCTATATTATTCTGTAATGTACGTTACAGAGAGGGTTTGTTGCAATACGTGGCCTAATTATGTTTTTTTTAATAAATACCCTAAAAGGGACACATCTGTTCTTGAAACTTGTGCCAACGTCATAAGATAATGAAGAAATTAAGGATCGAAGGATCGGGAGATCATGTCAAAAGTGAACGAAACAGAAGGTAATTTATGCTTAATTACCCCTACTGGGAGAACGACGATCAGTCACAATTACGTTCTCATACATCGTTGTTACAGATGAAGTGCAATTCCCGTCCATTAACTTCACAGAGAGTTTTTCAGCAGACTCATCATGTTATGAAACATCGGATATCTGGAACCTGTCCTGTGTCCAATACAAAATATACATTTTTATCATTAATAAAACTTGCTGCCTGAGCATCGTACTATTCCTAAATAATGTATTTTTTGAATATCAACAAATATCATATACGCGTCCTTGAATAAAACATTAAACACGTATTGCCTGCACAAACAGGTCACATGTGTATTCCGACCAGGCGTATTGTAAGGTTCACGGTGTACATTACGTTTTGTGGGGAAACATATTGTGAATTGGAAACATATACAGTTTTCGATACCTTACGATTTGTTGAATATGATACATGGACAGGGGAAAAGGAATTATGATAATTATATTCCCAAACTGCAATATTGCAATAAATGTAATAAAGACCACCAGAGAGTCTCGATGATCCACCGAAGTAGATTCCATTGGATGTTCAAGGCAAAACAGCATTTAAAATTATTGATGCCTCAATTTTTTTGCGAAAAGGGTAAGCATGTCCTTCCCTACCGGTAGCACACGCAAATCCAACCTATCTTATGAGCCCGTAATTAAGGAAATGTAACCTAAAAAAGGGTTTACCATTGAGCGGGATCGATGATCGGTTAAATTACTTGAATCTAGTCTTTATGATACCGCAGTCAATGTCTTGCTAAGCAGAGTTATTAGTAAGGAACTATGCTGATGTTTACTTAAAAATGTTCGTGACACGTTTGTATTGGAGATGAATTCATAAAACTAAACTAATATACGGCATTAAACAGAAACGCAACGACAAAGAGTGATGTCTTTGAAGTATTTACCATGTAATTAGTAATAATTCGCCTTGATAATGAAGTCGGTCTGTAGACTACAGTAATTAAACTGCTCGAAAAAGAAACATATCCAAGATTTCATTGCTCCGGTCTGTAATTCGCCGTATTGATTGGCTACGGTGTGGTGCCGTTATGTTGCAAAGACGGAGTTATGCATATATAATGATGGGCAACGAAGAACTAGAGAGTCGAAGGTAAACTACCTCTTCGAACGTCAACCTGTTTGTAATGCAATATGTCTTGGTATTCAATTATTAACCAACTGGAAAAATTATGTACACTCTAACAGCAATATTACATTCACATGACTATAACTGCTTGTCCCAACATGTATTGTGAAAACTAAATTTCTAAAGAGGCTGTTGGAAAATTGAAATCGATCTTCTTGTCTGCACATGGCATAAGTGAAATAGACGCTTAAAACCTCCTATAAATACCATTTATTTGAATTCATAAATCATACAAGAAGAACCACCTGTCATTGCAAATGTAATTGCATAAAAATGATTCATCTAGCATGCTGATTATTAAAACCTATTCGTCTGTACTGTGATGCAGTATGCAAGTAGCCAGGCTAGAGTCTTGTCGATTTCTGTCCTAACAAGGTTTTCGATCAACTGTCTTCACTGGGCGAGTGTTAGAGCAGAGATACCATATCAATCTATTAAACATTTCAAACAAGTAAATGACATCCCTAGAATCATAGGGCCTTAGCTCTTGTCGTGCGAAGAATACGGCTCCAGAGATTGTGCTCGGCAAGCCTGCTTTGAGGATTACTATATTTTGATTAACCAGGCGCATGGATGCACGGTAATTAATACGTGCATAGCCGTGCTGGACAGTCAGTTGCCCTTGCTCACTGACCAAAGAAACATTCTCAAGACCTGGCCGGACAAGTGAGAAAAGCCAACACTTTTTCCTGATGTTTTGGACGATAATTTCATTCAGTTAGCATTTCTTCTCAAGAGACTTCTAGCACTTGAGAACTTTTCGAGGATCGTGAATGAGATTTCCCTATCAATAAATCGGCATTTTATACCTCTTGTGGGCCTAAATCTTCCTGAATCGAAACACGGATTTGATGCAAGGATTCTCAGCAGTGATCATTGACAGTTCTCTTTAATTGTCTCACTTAAGTGCCTTTGATCTATGTTCATTTAGAGTAAAGGTGTTTGCCGCCGTCAGGAGACTTGTTTCGGAAGGTTGTCAGACATTTCAAAAGTTGCATGAAAGGAGATCATGCGCTCCGTGTAGTGATACTATCCACAGCAGAATCGTTTAATGGAATTTCTTTAATTGTTATCGACGGAGTAGGGAGTAGTTGGTGTTAACGACACAAGTGCCCGGCGTGAGTCAGTAAGGATGGTCCAGCGCTATTATTTGCCAATATTGCTCGTCTGAACTCCTCCACTGCGAAAGTCGTCCAGCGAGGGCACACCTTTCATAGGAAGTACATCCAACTGTTGTCAGTGTGGAATCAGCCCCCGTGGAACTATCTCCCCCTGTAGTGACAGACACCTCCAGGCCTCATCACCAGAAATTGTTCCTAACCTGCACCCATCTGTTAAAGAACAAGGAACACGGTTTGGTTAAACTCCTCGATACAGACGGTGCATAATATGAGAATGATTGAACAGTGTGCTTAGTTTCTCACGCCTATCATTCTGTGTTTTTACCCGAATGCCTACTCTTAAGTGTAATGTTTAATGTTATAATGGCTGTCAGTGTAATGGCGGAGTTGCATTCCGGTGGGAGTTGTGACAACGTGGCAATGTAGGTCATTGCTTTCTATCAACAATGGATATATTTTCTAATGAAATCGAACCGTCATATTTTCCTTGGTTTTTATATAGCTCCTCTATCCCATACGCACATATAAAACTATTCCAAGTTTCAGAGGAAAGAATACACCTCATCCACTGACTACTTTGTATGAAATATGCATCATATGTAACTCCATACTCAATATAGAAGGTGACGTCAATTTCATTGGTTAAAATAAGGTTTTATTATTTCTTTTCATTCGGATTTCTCCACATGTTAATAATTATGTCAAACGAAATGGATTGCAATACGACCCAGACACCTCCGAAGCGTATCAGCAAAGTGGAGATACAAGAGTGTTACATTACATTGCAATAACAAGGCCAAGTGTTGTAGACAAGTCACATGCATGGAAGCAAGGATAAAGACAATGGCCGTCAACGTGCAAGAAACTCCATGGCGAATTCACATACGCTTGCTGTATTTCACAACTGTGTGTTTAACATTACTAATGGCTACTGTCATGTGGTATGGTTACACAGAACTTCGGAAACTTCGAAGTGATATGCGCAACAAAATATCGAAAAAAGATGTCGCGGAATTTCGTATATGGCACAGACCTTTCGAGGACTTGGAATCTCCCCCAGAATGGAGTTACAGCGAAGATTTCGATAAAACAGAATTTGAAAATAGAAACGACGAGAGTACCCGTTCAAAACGTCATGCTGATCCCGAGGGGTCGGGTCTCCCAGATGATTTTGTTCTTATGAACACCTATTCAAGAATACCGGTAAGTTTATTCACAAATTATCAAAAACCTTCCCGCGAAAAAAGTTCCGATTGAAAACAAAATATTGCAGTAATTGATTTGACAATGCCTTGGATTCAAAACTAACAAATAACCAATAGAGCGATCCAATGATGTATTTCCTATTTAAACGTTAAATATATCGTTTACTAAATAACTTCTCTCTCCAACAAGTCACCAGGTTGCTGTAATGATCTCCCGAAGTGTATTGATTTTCGCTCGTGCTGTGTTTCTGTGTTGTGTAACGTGACTTGTTACGTATGCTAAGTGAAATATAAACAAAGTAAGAATTAAACAGCGACCATGATTTATTCAATTAAAGGAAAACTGAGCTGGCCTTTTGTTGACATAAACAGCGTGTATCCGGTTAGAGGACCGTACCTAATGAATATGATAAACATGTAACATTTGCATAAAACATTGCTTCAAAACATTGTGTTCCTATCTGTTCTCATATGAATGCATACATTATTCAGACTGTAAACATATTTTATTGTTATATATTTATGAAATATCTTTTTCTGATAATATATAATCGATATTTCACTCGGGTGATATAACGCTCTATATCGGAAGTACCTCCGGTTGCCTCACTGACAGTTATTTGACACTTTGGGTTTCAGACTCGTATCAAATCATTCGGCTTTTCTTGTCAAACATGTTTATCTCATCTAGTGACCTTTAAAAGTTCGTGACTACGCCGCTCATGTAAATATGACTTTTGTCAGATCAATCGCCCAGACAAACAAGAAAATCCCATACCCTCCCTCTCTTGTAGGTTGTCTCTCTCCTTCTGTCTCTCACTACCCCCCCCCCCCCCCCCCCCCTCTCTCTCTCTCTCTCTCTCTCTCACTGTGTGCTGACTTAGTCCTGACCTGAGTGTTAGTTGCTCACGTTGTTTACTCAACAACAACTCATACGTGTTAAGTATTAAGTTAGTTAGTGTCTGTCTACCTTGTTAATATAAGATATAAGGCCATGTTCTAATGATACTATGATACTATGGGCACATATCTGTATCATGCTGAGTTGTAGAATGCTTACATGGAGACGTTATATTACTTGCTGAGAGGTTCTCTAAGTAAAGAGCGATATAACGTACAACACCTGTCAGGTTAAATTCGATATAACATTAAAAATACTGCAGTTGCCTAATACATCTTTTGAATGAAACTGGGCAATATGGCAACTGACAACTTTCCTTTGGCTGCACATTCTGACTGAAATAATACACCCAACAATATTATGTAAACATTTTAATACACCCTTTACAGCATATAACAACTCTGTGTGCTACCACTCATTTTATTGTAACACTTCTCCCCTTCGACTTAATAATCTGCAATTCATATCGTTTTTTCCAAACTATATGAATTATGTGCATCATAAATGCTTGTTATTCACTTTCGCGTGTGCAAATGGAGAAAGAAATCAAATTACACAATAAAAAAACTAATCACAAAACCTATTTCTCCTTTCAAGTGTTCCTACTGTTTCCACTGTTATGTAATGCCATGTATGTCTTTAACGTCCCCAGACATAAACCCTTATAGATTTTATAGTGTGTGCGTGCAAAATAAACGTAAACTGATAACTCCGCAACTTGCCTGCCAAACTTAACTTAAGCGGTGTGAATAACGTCTAGCGGAAGAGCGCCTTCCGACCTCACCGCTATTTTCCCACAGGACCGCCATGGAGTTTCGGTTCATTGTTCGACAATGAGGGCTTCCGTGACTCGTCCTTTCCGCTTTCCGCCTCTTTATCGATCAAATTGGGTCGAAAATCAGCCTTTTATTCTTCTCAAATGCATCTGAAGCCTTGAAAAGACAACTCAATGTAAACGAGAGCAAATATATTGCGTGATCTGGCCTTATCTAATTATCCGACGTTACGTCCTAATTATAGTGAAATAGTCGCTGAGTATTTGTCGTTTGTCTTCGGACACGTTGTATTTAGGAAATCATTGCTTACATTTATTGATATATTTTGTTAACATAGACAAGCAAGAGGGAAATACACTATGGTTTTATGCGTTAGTATTTAACTTTTGTTTTTTCTTGTCATAAAACAGGGTAAAGGTTCATATTATTCTTTTCACATTCTATTTTTTTTAATGTATTTTAAAGTTTGCCTTTTTGCATGTTATGTTTTTGCATTAAGTGTATGTATTGAGACTCAGGAAATGTATAGGCCGGATGGACCCAATATCTTTTACCTGTTACCTTGAAGATTTGTTCCGGTAAACTGCTACAATAGTGGCAGTTAGAATCCTGAAAAAATATAACACGATCTTATGTTTCCTTTTTGGGGAAGATATGTTTAGGTCGTTCATACATAACACAACGTCGCGTGACATCTAGTTTTCAGGGTTGAATTCCTTCAGGCCTGCTAATGGATTTCACCTGACATTACACAAAAGTAGAAACCTGAAATTGCAAACCCTTTTGTTATCTACCTTTTAAGCTGATCACATTCATGTTCCATTTGAAACTTTTGCAAAATAAGTTTCACGCTGACTATTTAATACAATGGTATCAGACCGAAGCAGAACAATGCAGCGTTAGGCCACAACAAAAGGATTATTTGACAGTGGTCTACGAAGAACGATATTTCTTCCTTCTTTTTGTTCATAAAATGTTTTCAAATATATGACATATTTTTTATTAAATTTTCTTATATTTTATTTGTTCCAATTATATTATATAATATGTTATTTACAATTTATATATTTATAGAAACAAGAATGATTTGATTTTTGGCATTCGATAATATATCAGATTATTTGATGGAATAACAAAGATAAAGTAATATTGACTACATGTTTTGATTCTAAATTCTAGGTATTATGGCCCGACATTGTATTTTACTAGCCATAGTATCCTGCCCATGTTCATAAGTTTAAGATTTTCACTTGCACTGAGATATTACATGTCCTTACATCTCACGGTACACACTATTTGGGGTTTCTCACGGTACATACTATTGGGGGATATATATATATATATATATATATATATATATATCACGTGTATTGTGTCTGTACACGCATTCTCCGACATTAAGGAGTTAGTGAGTTTGTGGACGACATTCTTCGATGTTATTGTGACAGCTAAAGTACGAACTATTTTTCGAAATATAGAAACAATGAATTATAGCTATAAAATATTAAATTATTGAATGTGTAACTTTCGTAATATCGACATTCTGCTATACTTCTGCTATAGATTATTATCAAAAAGTAATTATATGTTTTTATTTTCGTATATAATGATCACAACTATCATATGCACCAGTGGGTTGAGTTCATCAATCGTGAGCATATAATAAAGATCACGTGAGTCGTTTGAACAGTCCTCCAAACATTTTGTTTAAACAACGACGGAACCTATTTATAATCGCAAGTGGAACTGCATGTAGAAATGTGGTTCCATGTAATCTTTGTTGCACAAGGGTGGTACCGCTCAAATGCATTTACAAAATGTACCGCATGTAAAGTACCAATATGATTGTCCCACCATACCCACTTCGTATCTCTGCCATATATTAAACACGGGAACCACATGTAAGAAACAAATGCATATGCTTATGACACGAGTAATACATGCGGCTTTACCTTGAGATTGATACACGCTTCACGGCTTCAGGGGCTTAATATATCCAAACGAACTGGGTCTGACAAAGAAGTCATTACACATGATAAAATACTTATGCGGGAATAGATGTCTACATCACATTATCACATTACGTCTACATTATCTGCTTCATCCACATATGTATGTTTGTATATTGAATGTTCATAGTGTCCTGTGTCAGAATTGGAATTTCTTTTTGATAAACCCAAACCAATGCTTTCAGTAAGGCGGCTTTCCTATATAGCGATCCTCATTTTAAAACGTGTGCGAAAGTATAATGCATCTATAGTTACTAGATATTAAACTGTTGCAGATACATGCAATTGCAAGGTCATGTTTGTCATTTACTTATCAAAAGACCAGCTTTTATTGTATAAACACTTACTATACATTAAAGCCCCTAATAGTTTTAATTCTCTGAAAATGTTTTTTTACAAGAATAGAAAATGCGATAGTTTTTTTAATTCATTGGCAGTTTGCGTTGGTGTTATCAGAAATGCCAAACAAATACTTGTGATGTTTCTAGTATTGGTCTATGGTTCGATATCTCTGGCGTGTAGCTGAAAGATAGTTTCGAAAATATTCACAACGCAAAAAACCACCAGAGAGGTCTTGATTTATGCAAATGACAATGCAGAGTACTAGTATAAATAGTTTTAATTCTCTGAAAATGTTTTTTTACAAGAATAGAAAATGCGATAGTTTTTTTAATTTATTGGCAGTTTGCGTTGGTGTTATCAGAAATGCCAAATTTACTTGGGATTCCTTCAAAGAATAATCATATCTGAAGTTTGTATGTCAATGAGGAAGCAGGTCATGGTTGATCATTACGATAAATTGTAAGTATTTGAGCTGATATGGAAGCTTTCTTCAAGCTGCTGATAGATAAAACCGAAGCATAACATTGTGATACCTAATTTTCTATAGAGTTCAGTGTTGAAATAACTGTCATAAACAGTTTTACCTGACGCGTTTCTTATATTCTCTCGTTGTCGATACTGAATATTCATGTATATTTCATGATTTCCTGTCTGCGAAATCGTTCACCTGGTTCGACTTGGTTTGTCCTTGATATAAAGTTATATATAGACGTGTTTCTATGCTAGTTGTTTTACTAGAATTTAGGAAAGGTGATACAAACGTGCAATAGGTGTATTTGTATATGTGCGCATTTGGATGATGCTCAACCTATAAACAATGCATGCATGCTATGCATACCATGTGTCAGGGCCCTATTCCTGTTAAGATCGCTACCCTTCAGATGAAGGTGAGGTGAAGATTGTTGCACTTATATAGCGACGTACTAGTACGTGTGTTTGTGTGTGGCTGCTTGTACTTGTCCGGACTAAT